GGTCCTGCATGTTTCATTTCCCTGTGAAAGCTCCTCTGGCCGTGAGGGCGTTGCGAAGTTGCGACATCTGAAGACCGTGCAGACGTTCACTTATGACGTCATAGGTCGGTGACCTGACCTGACTCGAAAATGCGGTTGGTGTCAAAAGATCTGGCTTGAATCAAAGGTCAGCTATGCGAAGTTTCAGCTCTCTATCGCCAGAGTGTTCGGAGCTATCGCGGAAAAAAACCCTATGGGCGTGCGGCACCCGCGTCCCGCACCCCCCCCCCCCCCCCTCGGCCGGCGAGGGTTAACCTAAAAATATTTGACTTACCTTCAGGCATCGGTAAAATCCTTTTTGAAAGGATTGCATTCCCAATCCACATTCCTAGTGCCGAAGTGGATTGCATTCCTACCCGCAATCCCCTTCTTTCACTTGGATTGTGATCAAATCCGCAATCCTTTTTTGCAATCCTGTTGTATTATTATGTGCACTAGTGGATCTGGGGGAGGGAGGGGGGCATAGGGCCGTGCCTCCATCCCCAAATCACCCATTTCTAGTACCTAGTCTTGCGAGTAATTCCTATCTAAGGCACAGGTATTTTATGGGAAATATTTTTTGCCTCAAACACTCCCGTATTTAAACCTCACCCCAACCAGTGTTTTATATTTTTAAAACTCGCCCTCAAATACGTAATTTTGCCCTTCCTATGTAGTTCATCAGCGTATTTTATTTTGAGCGTTTAAATTGAAAGCGTTTAAATTATTTCAAGTTTCGATGCAAAGCCCTTGATAGCAAAGTGCATTAAGCCGATGAAGCCGATATCATAATTTTCAATCGCAACAAACCATTTCAAAGCACTAATCAAACACAATCCGGATTGGATTGCAAAAATTGGAAGTATGATGCAATCCAATCCGCAATCAAATCCTGTTTTTTGGAATGGATTTCAAATCCAGGTGCAATCCACCAAAAAGGAATGCAATCAGGATTTTGCAATCCTGCAATCACAATCCTACCGATGCCTGCTTACCTTTGCCTGTAATCTCTCTTAAGGCATTGCCTTCGGCACTGCACTGCTTCGCCACGAGCAATTTGATGTTTATTTCCACATGGTATTGGTGCTTTTAAACTTGATTGTGCCATGAATAATTATTATACTCTGTTCCGTTTCAAGTTTGCAGCCGAAGTGCCCTGCTGAAAGCAGTGCGTGATTTCTGTATATACAGCTCTTACATTTTAAGACGCAAATTCTTGAGCGGAGGAGCGATCTGCCGAAGAAACTCCAACTGCAAGCTTGATATGGAACAGACTATAGTTATGAAATCAGGAAGTCAAAGGATACCTATCATGTGATTTGCTTCTTACTTGGGGATTGCACCAAAAGTAAATTGGTGATCGGTCCTAAGTAAATAAACACCACCTAACCTAACCTAACCTAGGTTTGCAGATTGACATTTCGGAAAAGTAATATTTCAACTAATTGACATTTCGGCAAACTGCCAATTCGGCAGATTGACATTTCGGCAAATTTACATTTCGGCAAATTGACATTTCGGCAAATTGACATTTCGGCGAATTGACATTTCGGCAAATTGACATTTCGGCAACTTGACATTTCGGCAAATTTACATTTCGACTAATTGACATTTCGACTAATCGACATTTCGGCAAAACGCATTTCGGCAAATTTACATTTCGACTAATGAGCATTTCGGCAAATTGGCATTTCGGCAAAAAGGCATGTCGGCAAATGGCATTTCGACTTTTAGCATTTCGACTTTTTGACACGTCGGCAAAAAGCACATCGGCAAAATGACATTCGGCGAAATGCATTCGGCAAAATGACATTCGGTAAATCGCCTTTCGGCAATTTGCTGTTCACGATTGTGTAAACCAAAAATGAGCCTGATCTGACTTTTAAGACGGCGGCCGGAGCCCATAATGTGAACAAGCCAAAATACTAATAATTTTTACTTTGACCTGACCTGTGACATCATCGGTGACCTCGAGGTCAATGAAATAATATTTTCTCGACAGTTTTTCCTTAGCTATCAGAAGCCGTTTGAATTTTGACGATCGGACCAGCAGTTTCGGAGTTAGGAAAATCGGGAGTCGGGTGTGACCGGACTGCGTTACGCCAGTAAGGACTGAAATGCGGTCAACTTATACTTCATTTTGTTGCTAATTCGTTGAGGATTGCGGTCGCGAAAGTTTCATGTCACTGTCGTTCATAGATTCGCCAATATTGGCTAAGTAACTTGGAAAATTATAGCTTTTCCCCGAAATTTGACATTTGACCTGTCATAACTAGGTCGAAATTTGAACCAGGGTCAAAAAAATTACCACCAATCGCGAGTACCCGTTGAGAACAATCGACTGGTCGGTCTCTGTTGCAAAGCGCTACAGCGCTTAGTTTAAAACGCCAGGGGGGTCCCATCGACCTTGCCATCGAACCCCCCCCCCTGCCAGGCCGCGTTATGAAAAGCGCCCTGCCAGGGCGAAGGTTAAAATCGGGTAGGGGAGAGTGCAGGGGTAGTTTGGCCGCTTTTTTTAGAAAACGATGTAACTTAAAATTGACGACACATTTCTGCATTTTCTCAACGCTGGCAGGTGTCGCATTCATTTTACTTTACTGGACAGTGAACTTGAAATGATAGAGTAATTACTTATATTGAAATTGTGACGTATTACAAAGGTCTGCAAGGCGGCCAAATTGCCCCACTAGCAGGGTTATTTGGCCGGGGGTGTGGGGCAATTTGGCCGGTGTTAGTTTACGGTCGGGATTTTCTGTTATATTGCGAGTCAGCTTCAGATTCAGCAATGACGTGTGTCCTATGACGCATTTGCCGCATTTTGGAGGTTGACTCATGGGGTCACAGGGATCAAAATAGCCAAATTAGCGGCTCTAGATGCGTAGACAGTTTTTACGAATAACTTTTGAAGCAATCAAGCTAGGCCAAAACTTCGAGTACCATCGTAATTCTCTCGTCATTCCGCATCGAAACATAAATGTGTTGACCTCGAGAAGTCAAGGTCAAAGGTTGGCCTCAAGTCACGTTACCTCAGGTCGCTTGACCTCAAGGTCACGTGATTTCAAGGTCATCATGCATATCATTCGATGCGCCTTGGCGAGCTGAATAGAATGAGACCATTTGTGCGGCTGTACCATTTTTATGTAAGGATTTATTAGCAAAAAACGTTTGGTAACCTTTGATGACGTCACATGCTCTTACAGTTGACCAATCGGAAGTAAGGCATCAAAGTAGTCAAAGTTGGTCATGAATCATATCATTTATGGTACAATTGACCATGAAAACTCGGCCGTCCCAGCATAGTGACCATGAGCGCACCGGCCAAGTTGCCCCGCTAGTCCCGGCCAAATTACCCCATATTGCCATTCTGAAAATTTTTGTGTATACAGTCATCACGGCTATACGGAATTATATGAAATTGCTCTTGGAACCGCTGAACACCCCCAAGAATGGCGCTATAATGTCTGAATTCGTTTTTAGCCCAAATACTACATGTTATACAACTTTGTAAACAGAAGTGAAAGTTACCATTTTCTAATGAAATTAAAGTTTTATTAATTTTGAATAAAACTACGAGGGGCAAAGTTTTGACATTTGTCCTCCAGTTATTTCTACCCATGACAAATGAATAGAGACTAGAGTTATTTCACTCACTTTTGTTAGACATCGTACAGGTGGGGGCGACCAATTTACACCACCGGCCAAATTACCCCACTCTCCCCTACCGTTGGCTTCGTCTCGTGATGTTTTTCAGACGCTTTTCCGAGGCTCTAGCTCAATTAGAGGCCAAGCGCAGGGGGGACGTACCCCCCCCCCTGTGCCCTCGAAGGACGCAAAATGGCCTGTGCCGGCGAAAGTTGAGGTGACCGTCCAGTCCAAACCCCTGCTACCGAAAGAAACAAGAGAGCAACTCCATTACTACGAGCGAGCGAAGCGAACGCGTTATAGCGTACGTAGAATAACAAAAAATATCCTACGAGCGAGCGAATCCAGCGATGACTTACGTAGAACAGCAGAAATTTGGCCTAGTTGACTAGTTGGCGCCCAATAGTTGGACTGCCCAATACTCACCTCTACGTGATGGGCTCAGCTCCATCGGAGCACCAGGATGCCCGTCCAGCTCCAGACTAATGTCTACCCCTAATTCCTATCATCCTTCCGGCTTTGAAAAGGTCCTTTCTGATCGAAAGGGCCGTACCAGCTTTGACTTTGTGTGTAACAAGCAAGTAAACAAACAAACAAACAGTTTGTGAACTATTTAAATTTTAACGTAATCATTAGTTATAGTGTCAAAAAAAATGTTTCAATGCTACTTTACAATTTACCATATAATTTCCCCAGCTAGGACACACACAGTTGTGGGGATTATTGAGAAAAAAAAAACGCTTTTACCTAAAGCATGAGCTACATCCTCAGTACTTATGATAGTTCGTCTGTCACGTTCGAGCAAAACATCATTGTGAGACATTTATTGCATGTCATGCACTAAGCTATTGCTCTCAGGTGGGAAAATACCCTTTAGAAGAGTTGAATAGATGGATCTATAGATCTCTGTATACCGCCGCTTGTATGGATGCCACTTGTGGCGATCGTTCGCCCATACGCCACAGATGGAGAAAGAGTTGCATTTTTGTATAGACAGAAATATCAGAGAACGCTCGTCAGTCGTCACCATAGCCCTGCTGCGACAACACGACTACGCTGCACTTTACGCTCTGGTCGGACCCGCTGGTGATGCACAGGCATTTTCTTCCAGTCCTGCTTCTTCCTAGATCGGCGCCTGCTTCCGCTGATTCGTCTTCCAAGCCGGACTTCGCCTACGATAATCTCGGGAGCCGCTTGTGATACTGTTTCCTGTCCATGCGGATGGTACTTTTCAGTAGGCATTCAGATACCTCTGGTGCTCCCAAAACATGGCTATTTACGGACGGACAGGCAACAGCTCTTCACCAGAAGTACACGAGACATTGCCATTGATGGAAGATATGTCGCCACTGAGCCCATCGTTGGTATGCACAACCGAGTCATCTGTCTTCAGCGATTCGTTCCAACATGCAGGCCAGGCCTCCGACAAGCTATGTCCAACTTCTGCTGAGTCTGAAAAAGACAAGCCTTCAGACTCCACGCCGGCTCCCCTGAGCCGGTCTCAAGTGAGTCTGCTGGTGTGTCTCTCCCTCAGTAATCTTCTGGCTGGCAGCTGTACCGTTGTCCAGTCTCCGTTCTTCACGCCGGAGGCGCACCTCCGCGGTCTGAGCAGCGCCGCGTCCGGCGCTGTCTTCAGCTGTTTCGCGTTGGTTCAGATGCTGGCGTTTCCGGCGATGGGCTGGCTGGCGCCACGAATTGGTGTGACGCGGTTGTACACTCTCGGCCTGCTGGTGGCCGGAGTCACCACGGTCGTGTTCGGTCTGCTCACCTACGTGGAACAGCCGGCTGCGTTCCTGGCCTGGTCTCTGACGGTGCGGTCTGCAGAGGCCGTCGGCACTGCCGCCGCTCAGACGGCGGTGCGAACCATCATCATCAACCAGTTCCCGCGGCGGGTGAACTCGGCCATGAGCCTGGTGGAGGGCATGACTGGTGCTGGCCTGTGCCTGGGCCCTGCCATCGGTGGCTCCATGTATGCCCTTGGTGGCTACGGAGCACCGTTCTACACACTCGGCGCATTGTTCTTCGTCACCGCCGCCGCCAGCCTGCTCCTGATGCCGAAAATGACGGACCACTCGACCGAGAGGACGGAGATGGGCGATGCAGATCGCAACTACCGCGACATGCTGATTCTGGTGCTCTCCACAGCCGACAACTGGCTGATATTCGCGGCGCTGCTGGTAGCCGCGATGAACTGGACGGCCATGGACCCCAGCATGGAGCCCTACATGCACGCCGTCCTCGGCATCCAGCCGGCCGAGCTGAGCCTCTTCTTCCTGGGCTCGTTCGCCGGCTACGCTCTCTCCAGTCCGCTGTGGGGCCGACTCTCGGACTACATCGACAACACGTTCCTGCTGGTGGCCGGCAGCCTGGCGCCCACCGCTCTTGGCGTGCTGCTGATCCCTCCGTCACCCCTGCTCGGTCTCCGGCCGTCCCGTGTGCTGCTCGGTGTGGGGATGACGCTGCGCGAGGTGTTTCAAATCGGTGCCTACCTGCCGTTGCTGCCGCTGATGGTGCGTCGTTCGACCGCCCGCGGTCTGCAGAGCGATGTAAGCGGCCAGGCACTGTTGTCAGCGGTGTTTGGAGCCGCCTACTCCCTGGGTAACGTGCTCGGTCCGGTGGGCGGCGGGCTGGTGACCGACCTCTGGGGGTACCCGACCCTGGCCACCTGGCTCGGAGGTGTCACGGTGGTCCTATGTGTGACCTTGGCGGCTCGTGGGCTGGTTTACCATGTAACGCGGTAGATGAAACGATCTGCGTAACATGGAATGCAAACATAGTTTTGTGCGACTGGGTATTGTACGAGTTCTTATTGTATAGTTGGGTATTGTACGTAGCGCAAGAAAGAGAGAGAGAAAGGGCAAGATAGAAAAGCGGAAAAAGGGAGGGATAAAGTTAACCTCAGGTGTGAAATTGTAGTGTGAAATACATAAACTAAAGAAAACCGCCTACTGTTTGACTTGTCAGTATGTATTTCCAAGATAGACAGTCTCAGAAGAAACAAAGGATAAATAAGAAGAAAGAATAGAAGAAGAAACAAAGGTAGAGTAAAGAAAGAAAACGATGAAAGCTCTCCCTTGCCGACTATATTGCATCGGGTGATAGTTGATGCTTTATGTTATTTGAGGCTGGTCATTCTGGTATAGGGGAGAGCGGGGCCAGTTGAAACACGGGGTCAGATGAAACATGGCTTTATTTTCAACAGTATGCAACATATGGCGTTGACGACACCACTGCGCATCCGCGCTCGACCACTTCCTTTGTCAACGACGTTTGGGCGGCAAACGGACGGTAATTTTGATTTGACACTTGTTTTTGTGTTTTTGAGGGGCGTTTGGGAGAAATCGTTCTTATGAATATTTTGTGATATCTCATATACCTTTGTTTGCTGAAAGAAGAACTCCTGGCTCCGGAATAACACCTTATTTGGCCCTTCATTTAGCATGATGCCGTCCCTCCAGCTCGTTTGACATGTGCTTTACGGCGCGTGCAAGATGGCGGGAGCGGATGGGGTCAATTGAAACGCTTCTCTGAGGGTCAGTTGAAACAGGGCCACAGGCCGTTTCAATGGACCCCGGTGACCTTTGCAATGTTTATTGTTCAGGGGCTGTAAACATTAAAGGTAGTGTGCCAGCTTTCCTGGACCGTATGGAGTTAATGGCCCAGATAAGGAGAACCGGATTTTTAGAACTTATCCATACCTTCAAAACTCATGGAAACGTCTTAGATTCTTCAAATTTTGAGTACCCCAGTGCGAAATTCGCCCCGACGGGTTGTCGGTCGTACCCCAACCACATTTCACACCACTATGAACAATAAATGCACACACTGAAATCGCTATTACCGATATGCTCATCCAATCAAGTTTCGATAAACCCGTTCATCATCAGCTCCTGCGGTTTCGAACACGCCTGTTAGGTGGTGCGGTAGACCGCGCCCAAAGCCAGGGCCCCGGTAACGTGAGGTAGCCGAGTCAGTGCAGCGTGCGCTGACCCAAGCCGGAGCCGCGCGTCCTCCCGGTGTCATGTGATAGCCCGGGGCTGCCCGCGGGGATGCGGTAGACCGCGCCCAAAGCTGCGGCCCCGGCTTGGGTCAGCGCACGCTGCCCCGACTCGGCTACCTCACGTTACCGGGGCCCTGGCTTTGGGCGCGGCGGTGGTGGTGCGTCGGGCTGCGCGCTCTGACTTCGGCCAAGAAAAATGCGTCAGCTGATCATTGTCATTTCTGCCACTTGCGTGTGGTGAAATGGGGTCATAACTTATGAGACGGCTTTTTCATATCAATTATTTTACATGAAATCATATTTCAAACCATAAATAATGTTCGACAGCCAAATAAAAGAAACAATACCAATACAGGCTTACAGTTTAAGGCTCGACATTGTGTTGTCTACGATTAGACAGCTGATAACTCATTCCCGTACGTCGTATGGTCGTAACACTATAATGACCTTTGCTTATTGTCACATGTGCGCCGCATTCGCGATTGTTGCCGACGCCTGTTTGCAGGTGAGCCCACTACAGTTGTTATACATATCTAAAAACCGATAAACTTTTAGGCGAAAAAGGCACTATTCCAGGCCCATTTTTGATATTTTTTTGCGATATTAGGTAAAAACAGAAGCTTCTTATCCTAGGAAAAATAAAATGGGAAATCTTTCAAAGGTGGCACACTACCTTTAAAGGAATTAGTCCAGCTTTGAAATGAGCTTTTAAACTGAAATATTAGTTTAACCCGCGCGGGGCTGGGGTCTCCAGCCGAACGCGCGGGGCTGGGGGGGGGGGGGTAAATTTACCCCCCCCTGTTATCTCCCGAACTAAAGGTCCAATTTGGAAAATTCAAACGCCAATCGAAAGATCTCATCACGAACAACTAAAAACATGTACTTAATTTTAAGTTTGAGGTCAAGGTCAAGGTCAGGTCAAGGGTACAAATTGCAAGTTTCTACAGTATCGGCCTTGCACCGTACTTGCCGAAGAATGGAGTCATGGACTGAGACTGATCGCCCAAAACGTGTTCTTAGGCTACCAAGACAATATTCGTTGCATACAATATCATTCAGAGGTCAAGGTCAAGGTCAGGTCAGGTCAGGTCACCAAAAACAAAATATAGAAAAGGGCATGTGCGACATATGTTTTATGGGTCATTTTACTCATAGAATTCAATAGGCACACTCAATAAGTGATATGGACCACCTCTGGATGAATTTCAGGTCGAGGTCAGGTCAAGGTCAGGTCAAGTGAGGTCAAATTTTGAAGTTGGTTGTTAAGGCCTAAAAAGGTGTCTATCTGATGCAGTTTTTCACGGCGAATCGAATGGTGCTATTTTTGTTTCCGTACGAGGTCTAGAACTTCCAAAAAAGTCATTTTTCAAACTTTTTGTGTGTCGTGACGTCATACAATTTTGAATAACTCCCACATTTTTGAACCGATTCTTCTAAAACTTGGTATGTAGGTGCACATAGACCACTTCTCTGAAATTAATTCCGGTTTTTCGATACACTCAAAATTTTGGATTTTATAGCTATTTTGCCCAAAAAGTCAGTTTTTTGAAAAAATTTGGGCCAAAATCCAACATTTTCAAAAAACCAAGATAGCCGTTTGATAGACAAAGTAGAATTACGTATATACTTTTTTGTTAGTCTTGATTCCTTTAAAAATGAAGATGCTAGCGGCGTTTGAACTTTTGCCGTTTTTCAGGCGAAAATGGCGAACATGACGTCACTAAAACGTCAATTTCTCAAAAAATTTCCGACGGACTTCGCTCAAATTTTCAGGGAACGTGTCAAATTGATGTAAGAAAAGGTGCTGAAAGTTTGGCGGCGCTGCGCGCCGCCGTTTTTGAGATATTGCAAAAATTCGCGAGGGGGGGGTAAAATTTACCCCCCCAACCCCGCGCGGGTTAATAGAGCTCAATTTTTGACCCCCTTTTCTCCAGCCTTTTGCTTGAAAGCACACTATAGCCTGAGATACTTCTCATTTTTCTCATCCGCCCATTTTACCATAGTCTATGTACAGGTCTCGCGGGTTTTAGCGGTAGGTCGCTCGGCGGGCGGGAGGGCAACTAGTTCCGCCCCTGTATCGGCGACCCTTTGCTCCGCCCAGTTACGCACGAGCGTGTACTACATCACGTAGTAGCGTGGGGGAGGGGAGGGTTAGGGTGGCGGCGTGTGTAGAGGCTAGAACCGGTTTCTACCGCCTGGGCCGGCGACCCGTCATGCGGTCAGGAGACAGGGAAAGGTCAGAGGTCGCATACAATGTGTGGCACTGTGCCCCGTCCTCTCCACGTGCTGACCAGCGCACGACCCCGTCCGTTGGCCAATCGGTGTTGAGCGGTCAAGGTCGCCCGTAGCCAGCGGGCTGAGTGAGCCGGCAGCGTGCCGATCCAAGTTCGCGAATAGTATTAGCCGGTTACCAATGGGGCCGGCAGACGACTGTTTAGCGCTGTTATTTGTTGGGGACGTTTCTGCTAATTATCCGTGACCTGATGAGGCCGGATATCATGTCACACTACATCTTTATTTTCTGACGCACTTTAGTTCCAAAACTACCAGACACAAAGCTTACCACAGAAAAATGTTGTATGGATTTTTGACATCATTTTTAAAAGATAGGCATTTGGGTTCTAGTTACACCAATATTATTTGTTGTTATCTTTGTGATTTTTGAAGCCAAATCCATATGAGTCGCTTGAAGAAGCATAACACCATATGATAGGAGATAAATATGCTTTAGCCTTCGACTTTTAGGGGAGAGGGGTCCGAAACGACTCTTCTCCCTTTTTCAATCCATGTCTCCCTAAGTATTGTAGATATCGCCAGTCGTCACCAAACTTTCAGGGACCTTCTGGGCATCAATTTTGCACCATGCGGGGCCGTCTTTTTCCAGAGAGTGTGATAGGTTGGCCAAAAATGACATCAGAATAACGTCATGGGTCTGCAATTTTCGACAAAAAAAGAACTTTTGCGGGAATAGCTGCCACTCCTACAGTTTTGAACATAGATAAAAATGTGTAACACAATAAGATGTTTATCATCAAAGCATATTATTTCAGCAATCATCATATTATTTTCCAAAAATAACCGAAAGCTTTCTAAACTTCGAGAAAGTCTTGAAGATAAAAATATTCCGAATATACTCCGGCTTCAAAAATCGACTCCCACTCCGACTCCGACTCCGAGTCCATCTCCGACTCCGGGCATTTCCCTATTATAAGTCCATATCATGATAGAAAAGTTCATGTCTGAGGTCTTTTTGTCTTGCCTGAGACAATCATCGCGCGTTCCATGACCTTACATCGCAGCTATAGATACTCTAAAAATAGCATTCAGTACCATAAGCAGTTTCTAGCACAGCCGGTCTTCTGGTTTTTCGCTGAAAATGATCGTCCAAAACAGAAACCTTGCCTTAGCTTCGGCAAAGTCCAAGTCTGGTTTGGAAACATGAACGAGCATAATATTTCCAAGCAAACATGTGTAGGGCATGACTTTGAGCTATGCCAAATTAACTCCGAACCCGGAGTCGCAGTCGGTAAGATTTTGGCGACTTCGACTCCGACTCCGGTCATAACTATCGACTCCGTCCGACTCCGACTCCGACTCCGACTCTGCAGCCCAGGCCGGCTATCCAACGCCGTGTAAATTTTGAAAATCGGCCGGTAACTTTCCGAGATCTTGGGGGCGGGGCGAAACGCCCCCCCCCCCCACGGGTGGTAGGGTCCGCCGATAGCCCTACGGGGCGCGGGC